GTGTGTGTGTGTGTGTGTGTGTGTGTGTGTGTGTGTGTGTGTACATGTTTTTGTAACCTGGTGGGGACGATTTTTGACCATTTTACACATGGCCCTTTGTGAGGACTCACTTACAGTATGGGGACAAAAGCCTGGTCCCCATCGGGGGAAATAMCATTGGTAGGTCAAGGGTTAGGACCAAGGTGTGAAGTGAGTTTAGGCTAACTTTAGGGTCAGATTGTTATTTGGGTGGTTAGTTTTAGGGAAAGGGGTCAAGCTCAAGCCTTAGAAATGATCAGTAAATGAATGAAAGTCAACGCAAAGTCCCCATTAGGGTAGAAGAACAAATGTGTGTGTTGTTCTCTGCATGTCCACTAGATGAAGCCAAAGCCTGCTTGTTTCTCTGCTTCAGGAGATTTTCTTCAATATTTTTCTTTTTCTGAACCGAGAACACTTGAAATACTGATCACATTGTTATCTTCTTGCTTTCAGTTTTGTTGACAAAGACAAAAATGCATTCTAGGATCTGATTTGACTTTTTGGGTTATTTTTTTAAGATAAAAAGAGAAAAGATAAAAAGACGATAAACTGTTGTTTGCACGAGAACTGAAATACTGCAGATTGTTAAAGATTATATCAAACTTTTATCATCTTTTAAAGCTAAAGGCTTGGGTAAAAGCTTCTTTTTTTATTAGTATTATTGCAACAAGCTCCATTCCTCCCCAGTAAAATTGTGTGTCGCATTCAAGTGAATCGAACAACAAATATATTTACTGTCTGTTACCAAAATATCACATGAACCACTGGATGAACACTGGCAACCACAAAATGGGTATAATGCAGTCAGTTTAACTAAAACATAGCTAAAATGTAATGTGATAGTGGCTGAAATTCATTCACAACACATTCTTATGTGACATTTTCTAATAAATAAATTGTGCTTAATATTATTTTCTAGGTTTGACCAAAATTAATACAATGCTATTCATAATTTTAGATTTTGATTTTGTTGTGGAATACTTATGTCTATATCACCTTGACACTGTCCACTTTTCATATCTTGTGATATCCTTCCGGACGTCAGCATTAAGTTGACCTATTTCGTGTATCAGGATGGGACAGGTTATGATTGGTTGTTCATTATCACATGATGTTAGCTGACAGTATAACATTGCTTGCCGGCCTATGACAGGCGGGCCCACATCTAACAGACTTCGTGATTGCTTTCTGTTCCATGTCTGCCCATCAATAAATGACTTTATGATCATACCCGCAAGACTTGTCTTTTTAACACCCTTTTCGCCGTGTTTCTGACCATCTTCCCGCGACAATTTCAAAGAATCAGACTTTATTGTAATGTTTCAAAAATGATCCTGAGCAATGGTTCAAGTATATTTATAATCATAATTTTTTAATTTCAGGTTTTCAGAGGAAAGATTTTCAAAGTTATGTAACTATACAAATCATTCAAGCACGGCTCCTAAACTCATTAAACAAATCAATGATATGTGCAAATACAGTATAACAGGCAACTTAGCAATTAACTAACTTTCAGCAGGATGTTTGCACACGCTGTTACCTGTAGTCTGTCACTAAAACACAATGTGTTCCCGGTTTGTTCAGTTTTCATAATAAAATGTTACCAGTTTGTCACATAAAACAGTATTTTAGCTCCAACAAGATGAGTCCTAAGCAACTCATTATTCTTATCAGCTGAAAACATGAAACACAGTAGATCATGTGTCAAACTCAAGGTCCGCGGACCAAATCTGGCCCTCGTTAACATTTTATCCGGCCTCAAAGGGAATACTTTACATGTAAAATAGTTTGATGGTTTCTCTTTTAGTCACATTCTTCTCACGACAGCTGGCCATCTTTCAAACTAGGAAAAGGAAATTTGAATTTTTCAGTGATCTTGTGGAATGGAATGGATAAAGGGAAACAAAGAACACTTCAAATGATAATTAAAGTCAAATAATTCAATTTTTAGAGAGGATTTTATTTTATTTTTTACCTTGTGGTAGAAATAATACTTTATGTTTGAGCAAGTAATTCATGACATCCTTTAATGACCTAGGTTTTCATGACATGCTGTTCATCTGCAGATAGAATGATTAAAGTCAGAACAAGGTCTGCTAACAACAATAATCATTCTTAGATATCACTTGTGTTTATCTTTGTGTTTTCCATTGACCTTGTATCAAATCTTGCTAAGACGACAGAATGCTGTTTGTTAATATATATATACGAGGCCTCTTGAGACAGCAGAGTTAGACAGTGAGCAGTGTGGAGAGACTGACAGAGAGAAGCAGAGGCACAGAGACAGAGCAGGTTGTTCTCTGTGTTTCCTGTTGTTGCAATAAAACTCAGCTGATCATCCCACAGAGTACCTTCATTCTTGGACCACGTATCTCTCTGTCGTTGTTAAATAAATATTACCATAACAACCTGATTTGCTGGAATGTCATTAAATTTATCTCTAAGACTAAATAAATGAAGAAGTTGTTGAAAGAGTGTAAGACATAAAAAATGAATGCTAATGATAAGTCTTTTTAAATGTAATCTTTTTTTCTTTGTTTGTTAGATCATGTATAATAAAACATCATTTGGAAAAGTTAATGTGTTTCTCTAAGAATAATTTGTTTGACATTTTTATAATAAATGACAGAAATTGCCCCTTAGATTAGACCAAATTTTGAATTTTGGCCCCAATTTTTTAAAGCAGATAAGTCATGTTTAACCATAACTCCACCTGACATCAGCAGAACTCTGTGTTTCACTTCACCTTTCACACACAGGAAACCTGTTTTTCTACAACACCGTCTCCAAATGTTTGATATTAATGCTTTATAACGTGTTTACAAACTAAAAAAATAACGTAGTTTTAAAGTATTAATAAACCCTTTAGTATAGTGCACTCATTGTAAAGTGGTGCCACAGTAAATGATTCAGAAACATTTAACTGTATGATTCTCATGCAAATCTTCCTCATTGCAGGACTAAAGCATGAGTAAACATGATTGTATCTCATGATGTTCCAGCTAGAATATTTCTTCTTCAGTGAAAATATGTTGAACTTCCTGGTTAGAAGTGAGAAGTATGACGTCGGCTTGTTCACAAACTGAATTCTTGGATGATGGTTAGACCTGCTCCAATACTGAAAACAAACCATCTGAACAGCCTCTGACGCTTCTCCCGTCTGTTGCTGATCGACGTACACACAGGTGCACTGTTAATGATTTACTTCTGAAACTAGATCACTTCTCCATAGCTGCCTGTCAGTTAAAAACACAGATCAACAGAAAGATGTCCCCCCGAAAGAGTATTTCTGACAAAAATGAAGTCAACATCTTGTTGTGATCACATGAAAAAATGTGTAAAATGTTGGTTCAACAACCAAAATTTGTCTGCATTTACTGCTGCTGTTTAGCCAAAAATTTAGACCCCTTTATTTGTCAAACTCTCAACAACGATGTGCACTGAAATCAACTGTGGCCGACCCCTGAGGGGTTCTTACACAGCTGGTGGGGTTAAACAGTCAGTTAGAGGAAATGTTGGATTTTAAAATCTAAAACACAAGGAGTGAATCAAAACAGGAAATGGAAAGTTTTAATCGTCATGTAAATAGGACATTTTTACATGACAATTACAGACATCAAACGTCTGCGTAAAACATTTAAAGGGAAAGCGCTGAGTCATCTTTTTTTTTTCTTTTTTGTTTTCGTGTTCGCCACCGCTCGGTGTGTCTGATGTCTATCTGTGTGGCAGGCCCAACAGGTTGCATGACAGCACGACTCCCTGCATACCTGAGGGAGTCCCGCCCACCGTAGCATGGGCTCTTCAAAACAAAAACCTTCCTCCTTCACTCATTGGTTTATTCAAAGAGACCAAGCCCTGCCTCTCACGGCTCATTGGCTGACAACACACAGGTGCCACTCAAGGTGGGCTGAATATAAATCTAAACTTATTTGCCACCAGGTTTGCTGTTCATAATAAGCAGCTTCTAGGAAAGAAGACAGAAGGGTGATATGGGATGATTTCACGAGCCTGGACAGATTAGGTCATCAGTTGGTGGATGCAGGATTCTGACTGATTGAGTTGGGTTTCAGTTTGTTGAGTTTGTTTAACATGAGCCTGAAAAACAGGAAGTCCTTCCAGGACAGCGTGTAAGTAGCAATCATTTACTTCTTGTACTTTCTTCCTGTTTGATTTTTTTTCTTAGCTTTGCTTTGATTTCCAAATGTTGTCTTGCTGATAAACAGATTATGACACATTATTATTAATATTATGTGACCAGGCTCTGTGGTGATTGGTGTATAAAAGTGAAACTATACTCCAGAGATCCGGGTTGTTGCCCAGAGATGACTTCAAAAAAAAAAAAAGAATGTTCCTCAGGGGTTTTGAATACAGTCAACCACTCGTTTTCATGTACAACAAAGACCCAGACAAGACTGACAAACACTAACAACACATCATGTGGCGCTCACTCATCACTCATCACTCATCACTCCTGAATACATTGTTTTTTGCTGACGACAGATCACAAGTAATGAGCTGCGTTCACCTTTTCTTTGGAAACTCTCTCACCTGAGGCAACAAAGAAACGGAAAGTAATGAAATGTTTACTGTCAGTAAGCAGGAGCTGCTTTCACCTGAACACCAATGAATTTACTCAAGCTCCCATSAGGGACAGATAAATGTATGTATTTATCTGGATTGAGTAGGATTGGATCTTGTTTGTATCTATTTTAGTTCTGAGTCATTTATATGAAAAAAAAAAGGCTGGATCATCAGTTTGACATTTCTCCTCGCGTCTCTTGGATTAGCTTTCTGGACGGGTCACCCAGACCTGCTGGCGTGAGGAGGAGCAGCAGCTTATTGAGCACTAAGAAACCGTCGRCACAGAGCAACAGTCTGGAAGCTTCAGAAGTGGAGGCCTCGCAGCTCAATGACAGCCCCCGTTCTAAAACGAGCCCCAGGTACTTTAGATTTTACTTCTAACATGAAGCTGAGAAGAAAATACAGAAATGGAGATGATAATTTTAAAAACAAAAGCTTCATTTTCTTTAAGATAACACCATAAAGTGACCTTTCTGTCATTGTCAGCAGTAAAAAACCAACAAATCGAAGTCACASTCTGGACACTGCAGAGCTGGAGGCTTTGAAGCTGAAATATAGCCTCACTGCTAAAATGCTCCCCAGGTACTTCAGACTTTACCTTCAACAACAGCTGAGGAAAATAACAAAAACAGTCAATTATTGATGCGAAATGTTCAATTTGCACTAAGATTGCATCATTAAATGACCTTTGTGTCTGTTATCAGTGTGATTTGGATCTGTTGTGTCTGCAGGGAGCAGAACATCGCAGAAGATGATCTGGAAAGATCAGATGGGATCGTCAACTACGTGAGTTGTTTTTATTTATTTATTTATTTATTTATTTA